AACCACCTGGTTCAGATGACAGGACAGGGCATTTGGGCCAGAGGGTCAGATAATATGAGCTTGTGGCATAAGCACAGTCCCATGTCCCAGGGGCAGGAGCCTGGGCACAGAGCTTCTGGGTCATGAAAGACCCCACTCCCTGCTCCTCCATCACCAGCTGCTGGAGAGATGCCCCTCAGAATGGGAGCCGGCTGGCCAGGGACGCCTGGCGGCTCCTGCTCCTGCTCCTTCTCAGCCCCGGGTTGGTGAAATTCTATGTGCCCCTACTGGGCCTGCAGGCCACTGTGGCAAATATGGCTTCTCACAGCCTCTCGGTCTATTTGCTGGGCCTCTCCATCCTGTGGTGCAGCAGCCTGCAGCTGGGTGGTGGGCTCGTCCTCATCCTGACCCGGAAGCTGTGCATGGAGATGCTGATACCCATCCAACAGGCCTTATGGCAGCCACTGATCATTGCCTGGGCCTGGGGCCTCCAGCAGCTCGCTGCCCTGATCCACGGAACCTGTCATGGCGTCCTTAGGCTCCTGCAGTGGGAAGCCGGCCCGGTCCTGCTCTCTGTGGCCCAGTGGGCCTACTACGGCCTAGCCAGCTTCCGCTGTGAGAACAGCAAGGCCTTGGAGAAGTTGCTCTGGGCTGTGTCTCCCTTCCACGTACACTCAGCAGGTGACTGTATCTCTACAGGTTCGCTGCCTGGACAAGCTGTGGATGGCCCTGGGGTGGGTGGCCCAGGCTGCGAGGTGCAGTGGTCTTCAGCCCCTGAAATGGGCCAGGCTATCTGGGGCAACCTCCAAAGACCTGGATGCAGTTATCACCATCCTTCCTGCCACCACCGTCCCTTTCAGCCAGCGCTTCCCTGGACCTGACCTGGCCACCCTGAGCAGGCTTATGCCAGCCTCTGTCATCCTGTGCGTGGTGGGTGGGGACAAAGATGCCAGCAAGAAAAAAGGAGGCTGCAGCTTTGGGGCCACTAAGGTGCCCATTAGCACCAGGTTCCAGATCGATAGGACAAGCAAGCAGACACTCACACAGCAAGTGAAGGTGACCTGTGTTCTCATCGTTCTTCTGTATATCTATGCCACGACTCTCTTCGTGCAAATCTTAAAATAAATGATCCAGCGTGAACTGGCCTTCAGTATGTCCCTGGATTACTTAGTCAGTGAGAGATGGAAGGCCATCAGATATGTCCCCTAGGCCTTTGCTGGGCTGGGGGCACAGGTGGGCAATATGCAATATGCAAGCCACGTGCATTCCAGGACCTGGGCTGGGGGACCTGGTCTCAGCTCAGTCACTACTGTGTGTCCCGGGGGAGGTCCCTTCACCCTTCTCAGCCTCAGTTCCTTTTCTGCAAGTGTAGGTCCTAGGACTTCAGGGGAGCACTCACTGGGTCCTTTGTCTTGGCACTTTTAACTCTTTCACACAGGTGCCTAGGGGAGGCCTGGGGGAAGGGTTGCAGCAGAATATTCATCAGTTTTCCAGGTGTCATGAGTCATGGTCTCCACCAAATGGCAGTGACAGGGCGGGGGGTCGTTACCCACTACAGTCGGTCCTGGGGTCTCCCACTTGGTTTTGCTGCTTTTCTGGGCCTGGAGCCAAAATGCAACTGAGTCCTAGATGTCATTTCTAGTGGGGGTGACCTTCTGTGTCTGGCTGTAAATTTCTCACCCAGTTCGTCCAGCTGTCTGTCTCCCTTTCCCTGTTCCACTTGCCAGGGAACTTCCCTAGCTGCTTACTATCCTGTCTCAACGTCAACTGAGGTCATTTGGTGTATTTGGCTGGGATGTGGGTCAGTCTGCAGGGTTCAGGACAGTGGCGGTGTCGGCTTGAAGGCTGAGCTCATCCAGGACTCTTGTCCTACGTGTGGACATGAGGTTGTGGTGATCTCCACCTAGTCAGTCTTCTTCTGTGACAGCTCAGGGCTGAGGGTGTTTCAAGAGATGGAAGGCCTGGACCAGGAAAATGGCACCATGTCATTTTATTGACCAGCCGATCGCAAGCTTGCTTATATTCAACAGAAGAAGATCAAAGGATTCGCGACCATATTTCATTGGCCACCCTTGTTTGTTTCTTCCCCTGGACCACAGGTGGCAACACAAGGGCCGTGGGCCAAGTCCAGCCTCCACCTTGTTTATCCAGCCGGGCACCTTGTTTCCACCCTGCGGCAGCACTGAGCTCCTTGCCCCTCTCGAAGGAGCAGTTACATTTATACAGTCCTAAATTACATTCGGCCCTTTGATGGCAACCACGAGCTGATGTGGCCCCCAGTGAAAATGAGTTTGACACCCCTGCCCTGGACTCTAAGATCCTTTAGGGCAGAAACTGTGTGCTCTGTAGCTGTTGGGCCCTCACTGGCCCGGCACAAAATGGTGTCATAGGTACATTGAAGGGATGTCTAGATCAGCCACATTCAGCCTTTTTCATCTCACGGCACACTTGAACTAGTTACTACAAGTCTGCGGCACACCAGAAAATGTATTACATTTTTTGCCAATCTGACAAAAAATAGATACACTTTTGGTTCATTCATACCAACAGCTATTGTTGTGTTGGCTGTTGCCTTTTTTTTTTTCACTTGACAATGTAAGAGAAAAGAAGTCAGTACACCTGACTAAATGGTCAGGCATTGTGGTTTTAACCGCAGCACACCAGTTGAAACCCGCTGGTCTAGACGAGTGTGCAATACCTAGGCTTAGAGCTGAGAGTTCAGTTAATTCGCTAAATGTTCATTTCCTTGAGAAAAGAATGGGACCGCTTGGTCAGTCAGCACATTCTTTAGTCAACCGAAACGCATTGCCAGTTCTCCTGAAAGGTACCAGAGGCAAATTTTTCAGTTTGCAGTTATGCTGTGGCTCATCCACTCAAATACAATGAACGCATTTGCCCTCTGCCCAGGTAACTCCACGCTCACAGAAAACAGACCTAACCCCTTCTATACCAAAGCAGCCTCAAGGGGGCAGCAGAGAAGCAAAGGCAAGATGCCGCTTGGCCTGGGCTGGGACTCGAATTACCAGACAGAATATGACAAGTGGTAGGAAGCTCTAAGTTTGCAAAGGTCTGACCTACAAAGAACAGCCTGACTCCCTCCTCTAGCCTTGCCGCGAGCGCGGAACACACACAGAGACGGTGGGAGAGGAGGGTGTTTCTGTAAACTGCAGTGATCATGGAGAAGCCTGGGAAACAACTCAAAATTGATAACTTCATGTTTCTAAGAAGATGCCTATATACCCTTGTTTTACGTACAGCTGGGATGGGGAGGCTAATAACGTTAATAAGCTCATTCTTTGCATCAGACATTATTCTAAACACATTTTGTGCATTGTCTCATCTAATCCTGACAATAATCCTCAGAGGTAGCTACTATGTTTATATATATATATATATATATATATATATATATATATATATATATATATATATATATATATATATATATATTTTTTTAGATGAGGAAACAGGCCCAAAGAGGAGAAGCCATTTGCCCAAGGTCTCACAGCAACTATTTGGGCAGAGTTGGGGGGGGGGGCGGGTAGGACCTGAGTTTGAAGCTCCAAAACATCACATTTTCTGAGATCCAATTCATTAGTGTGATGGAACTTCAATGCTGGCAGATTAGGGACAGTATCTAAGCTCTCCAGTCCTTATGCCCCCAAGCCCAGCACCAAGCCTTGTGCAAGGTGGGCTTCAAGTAAATATTTGTCGAATGAGTAAATGAATGAATATTAGTCACTTGTCTGAATATTACCCACTGATTTGGCCCATCACCCTTGCACACTTTTTTCTCTTATTTTATAATTTAAAAAGTTAATTCTAAAAATAAGGTTGCAGTAATAAATGAAATAGTGGATGTAAACCCTAGCACAGGGCCTGGCACAGAGTTAATACTCAATACGGAGCCTAAGATGGACATTGGCTTCTGTTATGTTTTTAAGAGGTGTGCCCTCATACACCCACCACGCATTTCCTCTGTTACCACAGAATGCAGGATGTCCTGTCATCACCACGGTGGCAAAAACCTCAGCGGATATCTGAGTCCCACCTGCTTCTGGAACCAGCGGAGGTAACCAGAGGCGTAGAGGGGTGCCCTGAAGAATATGCAGACCTGGATGGTGGTTCTTCCCACTGCAGCCAGCACTCTGCCGTCCAGCCTCTGTTTCCACGAGACGTGGAACTCTAGCCTCACCTGTGATGGGGACTAAGATCTATTTATTGAGCACCTACTGTGTACCACGGTCTTGGCTATAGCAGTGAACAAGATAGACAAAACCCACAGGCTAGCAGAAGAAAAAATTAACAAATAATTGCATAATTAATGGATTTAGGAAAGGGTCAGTAAGAGTTAAAGAGATGTCTCCTAAATAGTTCATTGCTGTCCCTCAGCTTCCGCCTCTATGCTCAGTGTCTGGCCTGAGTGTCTGACACTATGCTCAGTGTCTAGGCTGGGAGTGGGAGGTGTGCAGACTTACGGACCCGCATGACGCCAGGGTAAGAGCAAGCTGGGAAAGTCTTGGGGGGGGGGGACGCTGTGTTTTGGAGGGCTCTGAGAAAAGGCTTTATTCCGTCGTAATTCATTCATTCATTCTCGAAATCTTCCTGTGGTACCTACTGTGTGCCGAGCCCCGCTGAGGACAAATGCCGCCCCTCCCCTCATTGTATTGGAGATAGAGCCAGGAAACAAGCCAATGAAAGACGAAGACCATTTCAGCCGGAACTTTAGTTTTGGAGGGACTGTGCTGGGCACCAGGAGGCCAGGTAGACCCACGGCCCGGTCGCGGGGACCCATCCTGCATCTGCTGCCCATACCCTTCTTCCCTAACCCCCAGTTTCCCAAAGAGGTCACCAAGGTAGCAACGCTAGAGCCCGCCACAGGGTCTACAGCAGAGGCGCCCGAAGCACGAGGGCGCGCGCGGCCCGCCCACTGCAGTCCACGCCCTCTGCGCACAACGCCCCCTCGCGGGAGCGCTGGGCCACCGCAGCCGCGCCGGCCCTCTGAGCAGGGGACGGGGCGGGGGCGCCGCGCACGCGCACGGGTCGGCGGCGCGCGCCGAGCGGGGGGCACCGCACGGGTGCAGGCACGATGGAAGGGGGTGCGTACGGAGCGGGCAAAGCCGGGGGCGCCTTCGACCCCCACACCCTGGTCCGGCAGCCGCACACTATCCTGCGCGTCGTGTCCTGGGTAAGGATGTCTGGGTTACCCGCCCAGGCCGGGGAAGGGTGGAGACGCGGGCAAGGGCGGCGGCGCGTCAGGAGGGACCCCGACCCCATCGGACCCTGAGCAGAGCCGCGGCAGCCGAAGGGGAGCCGTCCTGCGGGGTGCAGGTACCGCCCCTCCCCCTTTCCTGGGCCCCGAGGGCGGGGGTCTCGACCCTCGCGGTGACGCCCCCTGCTCCTCCCGGGGTCCTTACGTCCCGTTGCCCGCAGTTCGCGCACTTCCCTCCCCCTCGTCGCCGTGACCTCCAAGCCGCGGCCCTGCAGCTCGCGGCTCGGGTTGCGCGCAGCCGCCCGGGTGGACCGGCGACCGTGGAGACGGAGCCCGGGTTTCAGGTGGCCTTTTTTGGGGGGTGGATCAGGGCGTGGAACATCTTGCGGGGGTGCACGCCGCGCCTGCGGTGGACGTTGAAGAGGAGAGGACGGAGAACCCGGTTTTTATGCTTAGTCGGGACGGTGTGGAGAGATGCGTCTGAAGCCAGATACCTGGCGTCCGCCCGGGAACTGCCTCTCCTTCGCAGCGTGACCTTGGGCTGGAAACCACCCAAAAAATGCTCTCGGGAAACTAGGATTTAAATTCCGAGGTGGGAGCGTCACCTTCTCTTTCCTGCCTCAGTTTCCTGATTTGTAGAGAGGTGGGAGGAGCCCCCTTGAGGCCTCTTTGAGCTCTGATTATTTCATGAATCTGTGACAGCGCCCCCCCCCCCCATACACCTGAATCCCTGTGGGGGTTGGGAGACCCGGGAAAAGGTCCCCTCTCCACAGTGAAAAACATAAAGGCCTGTCCCGGGCCTCCAGCCCGGTCGGGGGCAGAATATCCTAGTGCAGAGGGCTGAGTGGGGTCCCTCTGCAGACCTGGGGGAAGGGTTTGGTGGCCACGGCAGCTCCCCAGGGAAAGAAGGCCTGCTGTTGCCTGAGGAGGCGGTGCCTGGGGCTCCCGAGGGTCGGCTGGCCATGGCCCAGACACCCTGGCTAGCAGGTCTGGCTACCGCAGGCCTGGGGCCACTTCCTGGGTGCCCAGACCAGAAGATCTTGTATTGGGGATGGTGGCCAGGGGCACTGTTGGTGACGGCTACACTTAAAGCCAGCTGAGGCCTCCGGGTGCTCAAACTCCCTCATTCCCTGGGTTCTCAGGGCCATATTAGGGTTTGCTGGAGCTACTGTGCGTGTGTGTTTATGTGTCTAAAACCATTCAAACCTGCTGGTGGCACAAGAAGGGTGCCCACCGTTCGGGGAGTTGTTTGAGCACAGGAAAGCCCTATTCTGTTAGTCTTTGGGCTCCTAGTGCTGGCACAAGGCCTGGCACCCCCAGCACATCCATGACGGTTGGTGGCACTGAATTCCTTCCCCTGTGCCAGCCTCCAGCTCCCCAGAGACCCAATAGGCCCTTGGCAGAGGTAGAGTTCTGGGCACCACCTGGCCAATCAGTTGGAACGGCTGTGTGCATTGCTCCCCTTTGCTGGCTTCTGGGCCACTGGCCTGGGAGGACGAAGCCACTGGCTTTATGAGGGGGTGTGGGCAGTTTGGCGCTTGGGTCACTTCTGCCTGTGATGGCTTCATTTAACAAAGCTTTGCTGAGTCTGATGGGCCCCGAGGGAAGGCAGCATGAGTCACGCGAAGCCCTCAGCCCCACTGCAGAGCAAGCCGGGCGCCCCAGGCAGGAGGGTGAGAGCCAGCAGAGGGGTTTCCTGCCTGCCCTGGGGCAAGGAGAGACCCCACGGGGCAAGTGTGATGTCAGTCTGGGCCTGGAAGGATGAGGAGGGTTTACATGTGTGCACTTCGGGGTGCGGGGAAGCCCGTCCTCGCAGGAGGAGGAGGAAGTAACTTTGCCTGAGTGCCCACTGCGGGCAGGGGCACTGTCCCTGCCACCCAGCCAGTTCTCCCAATAGCCTGTGCCACACTTGCAGAAACTGAGGCTCAGAGAAGTCCACGGCGACTGAGCATGTGCATGGCAGGCAGAGAAATTGCACCCAGGTCTTCCTGCCCCCACAGCCTCCCATCCCTGATACCTTTAAAATACAGGGGTTTGTCCTGGCCGGTGTGGCTCAGTTGGTTGCGCATCATCCCACACACCAAAAGATTGCAGGTTCAATTCCTGGTCAGGACACATGCCTAGCTTGTGGGTTCCATCCCTGGTCTGGGTGCACACAGAAGGCAGCCAGTTGATGTTTCTCTCTCACATCGATGTTTCTGTACCTCTTTCTCCCTCCCTTCCCCCTTCTCTAAGAAGTAAATACATAAGTAAGATATAGGAGGTTTTTTTCCTATCATAAAAGTAATGATACCTGTCAGTTATTGGAAATGTAAAAAGCACTTGACACGGTTGTGTAACAACACAAATGTACCTAATGTCACCATGTCACTGAACTGTGCACTGGACATGGTGAAGGTGGCCAATTTTGTTATGTGTATTTTACCACCAAAAAAATTGGAAAAAAATTATGCGAGATCCTGCCACCAGGGGAGGGCTGCTGCCTCCTTGCCGTCTTTCTCCGAAATAAGGGGTGTGCTGAGACGTTTGAACACGTTGGGACGCGCCCCCCTGACCCTGCAGCTGCCTCGGCACACTGGGTGGGGGCCGGCCAGCTGGCCGTGAGCTTCGCCTTCATGTGGAGCCCGAATGCCCGCACCAGGGCGACCCATTCGTCCTGGTGCGGGGGCGCTTTCCCAGCTTCAGCACCTAGTGCCACGTCCTGGGGGCCCCCGGTCTCAGACAGAGCCCACCGGGCAGTCTCTCTGTCTAGGGCTCCTGTGCAGCCCAGCCCCCTTCCTTGGCCCCCGGGTGGGGGCAACAATGTCTGTGCAATGGGCCCCTAAGTTTGTAAAATTTATTTAAAAAATCTTTTTCTGTTCTTTTTCTGGAAGAGGGTCCCCACACCACGTAAGCTCCAGGGCCTCACCAACCCTGGGCCCGTCCTGGAACCTCAGCCCCTTGAGCCCCCAGGTCCTGCTGGGGTAGAAGCAGATTCTAGGACCCCCTTGTCTAGGACCCCTCTTGACTGAGGCTTCCTCAGCTCCCCTCTGCCTCTGCGTGTCCCCCACAACATACACACACCCCTACACCTGTCGGGGTAATTAATTATTCACAGCGAGAATTGAGGAATTGACCACGCTGGTTAAAGGTGGCGAACGCTCTGGCAAATTCTGCTCTGGGTAGGGAGGGGATGGCCGAGTGGGGACAGTGTCCAGAGCTGCTGCCTCTGACCCAGGGGGGGTGGGGCTGTGCTGGCGGGGGGCCAGGAGACCGCCCCAGGTGCCGCTGTGCAGGAGGAGGCCCAGACTGGGTCAGAGGTGCCGCTGCTCCAGGGCCGCAGCCTGTACCGCCTCCTTTCTTATGCCAGGGCCGAGGGGGGAAGGGCGTCCCAAAGAGCACGGATTTCATATAAGGGACCACCTCACACTTAGAATTTATAGTCTCAACTTCTAGAGGGTTGAAATGACCTATGGGGGTAAGAAAGCATTGGTGCTGACAGATGAGAGGGCTTTTCTAATTCATGCTCTGTTTTGACAAAATAAAAAATAAAAGGTTTGAAACTGCCACTTTCAGGGTTGGTCTCTTAAAGGGCACTGGCTGTGACACCCAGGGTTCTGTAAGGGGGGTGTGTCATACCCTCAGAAGGCAGGTCAGGCACAGGGCGGAGGGGACGCGTCTCCTGGCCCAGGGCTCTGCTGTCAGAGGTCAGAGCCACTGTGTGAACCTGGCCTGCAGGGTCCCCACTCAGCGTGCTCCCTGGGGCACCGGGCGGTGGCTTGGGGTCCTGGGAGTCTTTACACCTTCTTTTTTTATCAGCCCTTAAATCATCCCAAGTGAGCTCGAAGTACAAACGGTGACTTCACTTTGCAAACAGCAGTTCCACGATGAGACCCCTTGTTCCTGCTCCCAACCAGATGCCTTGTCCTCTTGCCTGAAAAGGTGACAGAAGGGGTCCAGGTGGAGGCAGGGCCTCTGGCCTTGGTTCATTCACTCCACCAGTGCCGTGGCCCTGTCAGTGCCAGCCTGTGTGTCCCACCGGAGACGTCTCAGTCCAATGAGAACAGCACAGAGTTGACAAGCACCAGCCAGGAGGCTTGGGACGCTACAGGGAGCTCCAGTGGGGTGTAGCTGCCTCTGCAGGCTGGAGGCCTGGAGGGCTTCCAGGGGGAGGTGACTCCTGAGCTGATTCTGATAAAGACTTAGGGAGGGGCATTTTAGGTGGAAGGAACAGAATGTACACGAGGTCCGAGTGGGTTTTGGAAATGATATTTCTTAGGGGCCCCAGGTATATAAGCGGAAGTGACAAGTCAAAAGGCCAGAGGGGCAGGCAGGGGTGGACAGGACAGGAAGGGCCTCAGGTGACAGACAGACAAGGCGGACTTCACCTGAGGCCCATGGGAGCCACACAGCGGGGTTTCAGCTGAGAGGAGGTGTGTTTCGACAGCTCCCTGTGGCTGCCGTGCAGAAACGTGGCTTGGAGATGGCTCTGGGGCGGGTGTCCTGGCAGGAAATGCGTGTCCTTATCCAGCCTGTCCTCTCCCAGCTCCAGTCACGCCCCCGACCCTCACTCTGACAGCGAGGTCCATGAGGACAGGTGTGGACCTGGGGTAGGGGTGAAACTTGTGGAAGAGAACCTCTGAAAGGCCTGCCACACACTCACTCCTCCTGGGCACGGGGCGTCCTGGGCAGAGTGGGCTCCGTGGCCCCCCCTTGAGGCAAGAAGCTGAGGCCCAGAGACGTTAACTTAACGGGTTGCTGCTGGGACCACAGCCCACCCTGACTTTGAGGGCAGCCCGCTTCCTGCTGCAGGGAGTCCAGGGCCGAAGCTGTTGGGCAGAGTCCGGAGAGAGGGGCGGGGGGAGGAGGGACGGGAGAAGGCAGGGCGGATGGCAGGGCTGGCGAGGGGGCTGCACTCGGCACCCAGGGGAGAGCCAGCTGTCTGCCCCGGGGAAGAAGAGGCAAGGCAGGGCGCTGGGAAGTGCGTGGGGCCACCG